GACCTGGGCCGAAGTCGGACGCTCAACTGACGGAGCCACCCAGGTGCCCCAAAAGAACATTTTATAGGTTCATCCTAGTTCTAAGTAATTTTACCTTATTTAGCTACTTAAAGAAATCTTCTACTGTAAACTTTTGTGACTTCCATAAAGGAGGGAATTTGAAGAGTTCTCTGCTGTGTAAACCCAGAATCTAACACTACAGCCTGCAGGCCAAAAGCGGCTGGCAGCCCATTTTTGTCAGTCAAGTTTTTCGGGCGCACAGCCATGCCTATTTGCTCACCTATCGTCGAGGGCGGTCTCTGTGTTGCCACAGCGGGTTGGGCAGTCACAACAGGGACCGTATGGATCACAAAGCCCTGAGTATTTACCAGCTCATCCTTTTCAGACGTTTTTACCAGAGAAAGTCTCCCACGTAACCAGGGGATGAAACCGATCTTTCTCGGTCTCTGTTTCCTGACCCTGTCAACGCCCGAGATCAGAAGCTCTCAATTTGACCCCAATGCCTTCCAGCTCAAGTCCTCAACTGGTCCTGAAGTCCCCATGCAGCAGAGCATCCTGGAATCCTCACCCCCGTCCCCTGCTCTCCCAGGGGCTCCTTCCCCTCGTCACGTTGTCGGCACCTACCTCCGTGACGTTGAACGGGGCTCCCCGCAGCCTCACGGTGTGGGGGGTGGTGGGTTCCTTCTGGGTTGCTGGTTTGTCTGCCTGAACGAAGGCAAGAACAGAAAGGGCCACAGTGACTTCCTTGCTACAGCTGCAGGAGGTGGCCCTTCCAGACGCCTCGGCAAGGACTCAGAGGCACGTGATGCCAGGGCGAGCCGCGGGACGCTGACAAGCATCACGCCTGCCGTGGAGATGCCGTGTGGCTGGCATGGAAGTGAGGGCGTGCTAACAGGGGCTCCAGGCCACAAGGAGGGTCAGAGGGCCCGGGATGGAGCCTTGAGGTACCGTGACAGTGGCTACCATTGACTGAGGGCTTGCTCTGTGCCCGACACTGTCCGAGGCACTTTGCAAACGCAGCCGGTCCTGCTGAATCTTCAAAACAACCTTAGACGATTATGGGTTCGGGATCTTCTTTATAATGCCCGAACCCAAACTGCCCGGAAAAAAGGTAGGTTTTCTATAATCTCTTTGGCAACAAAACTTGCCCTGACTTGAAGTCACCTGCCAGGACAACCTGCCCTCAGCTGATGCGAGGCAACCTACAGGCGACCCTTACCCTGAGGGCAGGAGTGGTCCTTTGTGGTTTCACTGCAGAAACAGAAGTGTGTAATGACAGACCGGACCCCACTGCGGGTGCCACACTGCCAGGGGGATCTTCCTGATCTCTGAAACTTCCAGGGCCAGCAGGTGCACCGGCACAGGGGTTTGGGAAACCGGACACAGAGGCCATTGCTATGCTGAGTGTCATCTCAGATGAGGAGAAGCACCCTCACCCCGGGTCCCACGGCTACTCTGTGTCGGGGCTGAGATCTGAACCCACAGCTCTAGGAACTCGACATTATTCCAGAATATACATTTTTAGGAGAAAAGGATGGAATGTGCAATTGGAAGGGGCCGAAAATGAAGGACAGAGAAGGATGAAGAAAGAAAAAGAGAGAGGACACGTGGCACCTTGAAGGGAACTGGCTGGGGTACAGGGAGGTGAGGGCATGGGGCCCAAACATGACCCACCGGCTCCCTAAGCAGAGAGAACGCCCTGGTGGGGGACAAGGCGGCCATCCCTGAAGGTCGCACCCACGTTTATAATGTAGACTTCAGAGCCCAGCAGCCCAGCAGTCGTGACCCCACGACTTCCCAGCCATGACATTGGCCGAGTCGCTTCCCTCCTCTGGGCCTCGGTTTCCTCACCTACAAAATGGGACAGGAATCCCTGCATGCCCCCGCTCCCCAGAAGGCTGTCCTAAGAGTCCACGACAAATGACAAAGCGCGCATTGTACCCAGCATGTAGTAAGCACTCAATTAATCCCATCGGTATTGCCGACTATGGGCTCACACCCGCCTATCCTGCTACAAAACATAAAGTATCACCTGCTCCTACCTCTCAACTGGCTCATTCACACCCCTCAGCTCCGGAAGGCAGGTGGCCTCTCCACGTTGCCACAGAAAATAAACTCGGGAGGGGAGAAGTGCTTGCTCTAGGTCGCACGGTGAGCAAGTGGCAGGGCTGAGCCGCAGAGCGATCTTTCCTTTATGATACCCGCCGCCAGCAAAGGGGCCGCAGCGAGCATGGGCGAGGACGAGGGCACACGTCCCCTCCCCGTCCTCCCTCTGCCTCCCAAGCGCCCGCGCACGTCCTCACGCACACACCTCAGCGCCGGCCGCCCCCGGCCTCTTGTCCCTGGACGGCGCGTCCTGCTCCGGGCCAGCCGTGCGCCCCCCTCCATCTTGCCGGATGGCCTCGCTCCCGTCCGCACAGCTGACAGCTTCGTCTTCGCTCCCCTCCTCCTCCGAGGATGACAGCGACTCGGACGTGACCATCTTGGATTTCAGGTAGTCCATGTCGGACAGTTCCTGCTGCACGGCCGCCCTGGGTTCGCGGCCACCCTCCTCTGCGAAAAGCAGGGGGGGCAGTGAGCGGAGCAGTGGCCGGGGCGGCAGAGGGCCACCGGGGGCAGCCCCGGTGGGTCCTCTGACACGTGACGTTAACCGGGGCGAACCGTGGGGAGTTCTGGTATCTCACAAGCCACGGCTGGTCAAGAGCCACGCGACTCCCCGGGCCGGCCCTGCCCTGCCCTCGTCAGTCTGCTCTTTCAACTGCGGCCTGCGGGACTCTTCTGAGAGCACGGACAGGACCGTCACTCCTGGAGTGGCCTCCAGATGCTCCCGGGACACCCACCCTCTTCCTCGGGCCCACGTGAGCTGCCCGGCTTCTCCCCGGCAGCCACCCCAAACCACGCGGGGTCCCCTCGAGCTCCTGCACTTCCCTCTGCCCTGTGCCCTGGCCACGCTCCTCCCTCTGCCAGCGACCCCCTTCCCGCGCCTCCCCTGCTCTATCCCAGCAGCTCCCAGTGAGTCGTCTGGACTCCAGTGTTGCCAGAAGCTTTACCAGGCCTGAAATTCACAGGGAAGTCATTCTCCCGCCTCAATGCAAAATCAACGCCCGACCCACGACCACAGCAACTGTCACTCTGGACGGCGACTGCTCCCGCTCGCATTCCC